CTCGTCGAGTAGATGACTGATCAATAATTTAGCTGCCAACTCGTCTGCATGTAAAGTAGGGTGCTGACCCAACAGATACGATTTCACTGCTGAAACTGAAACCCGTTTTTTAACTATATGCAATCACCCAAATATTAGATAGCTTGATTTCAACTGCATGTCAATGCGTGACCAAATTTGCCGATCTGAAAAATGGTAACAGAGCCTGATTGAAAGCCGGACCATCATTGAACCTCGACATCATTAAAGGCGAGAAAAACCGATGCTGCGTTCAATAACCAAGACTACACCTTTTTCCATAAGTGATGGTATGATAATGCTCAAATTTGACTCGAGGAACTGCATCTCAACTCTGAAATTCAAGGGCGTTGTATATGTCTTGTAAATCATCATCAGACATGAATTCTCCACGCTTCGACCACCCTGCAATCATTGCCTTGATGAAACCGTACTCCAGGAAAAGTTTACTCTCAAAATCATCAGCAGAAGCAAGGTATTCCAGCCATTTTTTTTCAGCTATCGAGAAAATCGTTTCTTCCACAGTATCTTCTATCATGAAAATCCAAATTGAAGTTGACTTGGTCTGCCCAATTCGTTGGATATGCTGGGTGACTTGAAGTTCCAAGAATTTGTTCACAAGCGGTTCACAAAAAAAGACGTGATTGGCATTCACCAAGTTGAGTCCAGTATCTTGGGCATGTGCGTCAAGCAAAAAACAAGTTACGGTACTGTCACTTGCTTTGAATTGTTTTGCACCATCAGTGTTACCCTGTAAGAAAGAGTTGTCAATCTTGGAATTCGTCAGAACTAAGGACCGCAAGAACGTTATATCATGCATCTTGAGGGCGCCACCCAAATAATCTAGCATTTTTGAAAATTGCAGGTAAATCACGATTTGAACACGAGGATTTCGAGATTTCAAGTACAATATATGGCGAACAATGACGTCGACTTTCGTGGAATATCTTTTTTTCACAACCAGCTTATCGATAGCGTTCATATGATCCTTCAGTGCTGTTACAACGTCATCGGAGCGTGCCTCATATTCAATATTGGGGTGAGATTCGGGCCGTAAGAAGTTTTGCGATTGAGTGAACTTTCGAAATTCAGGAGACGATTTGAATTCAGGGAGACGTTGTCTGCAAATGCCGCATTTATCAAAAGTACCAGTTTCGAAAGCTGACTCTGCAGTGACACTACTGTACAGATGACCACAGGGCAATTGCACACCCATCGATATTTTAGTGTGATCGATTGGGCACATCAATAGGTCTTGTAATTCAAAATTTGACATTTGCCCAGAAAGATGCCGTAGCTCATTGAAAGCTTCGTCAAGAGCCTTTTTGAGGTTTATGTGCTCGGTAGACTTGAGTGTGACTTCTTCAGCTACAGTGCGTTGATCGCATTGCTGAAAATTGTTTTCCTTTACGGAATCCAATATTAGATGCACATAATGGGAATAATCGATCAACGCATCAAATAAAGCACAGCCGTGTATAGCAAGCCCCCGTGTCAATTTATCAAGTGACACCTGCTGAAGTGCTAAAATCATCCCCGTTTCCTCACGGACCTTGCTGGTAGACTCGCCTGCAATGTCCAACCGCTTTACAATTTCGTACAACAGAGGTCCATCTGAAGAACGAACCTTATATGCCTCTTTTTGAAATGACTCGAGGTCTTCGATGTCGTCAAATTGACTTAATTCTTTCTGGCATGATCTATGACTCATTACACCGAGGAGCCCCTGCACCCGAGCCGCAGTTAATTCATTCAATACAGTTCGTATGCTTTGTAGTTCTTCCTGATCACATAGCAGTTTTTCAAGATTTTCAATCAGCATTCTGTTCTCCGAATCAAGTTTGTCTAAAAACTCAACAAGCAATTTCAGCTTCTCGTTGATAAGCTTCGCTTCAACATTCAACTGCTCAACACGTTTAACTTTCAAGATACTGCCAACAACTTCACTCAAATCAGCATTGAACTCAATCAACAGAACCTCAGCACAAAGTTCATCTTGCTTATCTTTTATCGATTTGAACAATCCGAGATTATGATTCACAGTCATATCAAAAAGTCTTTGCCGAATTAATTTCGCTTTATCGTAAAATTGTTCGCTGACAAGCTTTGAGTCGGCATTATCGTTTGTTCTTTCACCGAACAACGCATTTGAGGCCAGAGTTTCAGCATCATTACTGATCTCGCAGAGCCCCTTCTTGTAATCAAAAGAATGGAACCCAGATATATCAACAGAGTCCCGCTCAAAGGACTCATCGACGTCACCACACAGAATCTGACTGTGAGCAAACCCGGTCAAATAGTAGTATTCGTGCAAGACGATTACAAACAGATGCATAAATGTGCGAAATCTTTTAGCACGAAGATTATCCTTGTTAGTTATTGCCAGCTCAACTTGCACACTTAAATGACGTAGGATATTCTTCACCAGCTCTATCCCCGCTGCCAACAATTCAATGGCCAAATGTGGTATCTTCTTGAAGCAGAAATATTCAGCAACGTCAGCAAAAGATTTTCCCATCTGAAGTTGGATTTCAAAAAATTGTATAGTCTTCTCTTTGGTTAAAGATTGCAACTGTTGGAGGGAGCTCTTCATGCAAGGGGTATCATTTGTGTGTGATTCCACTTTTTCCGATTTTACCTTGCTAGCAACAACGGAAAAATCACAAAACATTCTCAATTCTTCAAGTCCCTTAATCTTAGCCTTGGTGTTCAGGCGCTGAATTGCCAGAAATTTTTCTTTCATAGACATATATCGCTTTTTCACTTCAGTGGGAAATTGGCAAGACACTACCACACGATGCTGGAGAGGAAGTTCAAAATCATCGCAAACCATCGCATATGTGTGGCGAATAGTTAGCGTTGAGCACAATTGTACAAATTCGCGAGGACAGCTCTTTAACATTTTCCAGGCTAACTTGACACCATTGAAGGGCAGACATTGAAGTATATCCAAGTAAAACTGGATGTCCTCGAACAGATCATTAAATGGGATCCCAGAAACACACCACACGTGATGTTTAGGGACTAATGCGACAAACCGAAGTGCTCGAGAATCTTCGTGACACATAGTTTGCGACTCATCAATAACAACGCGCCAAAATTGGAGTTCCATAAGCGGCAGCCCACGTTCTTTTGGAGCTTCATCACCGCGATCATTGTCATCAACACTGGTGGCGGTATTCTCTCCCTGTAACACTTCTGAGTCATTCGGAGTCTGTAAATCTCCCAGCAGTTCTTGGGTGTTAACTGAAAAATCGGACTGATCCATTGTGGAAGAACGTAATCGTTTGGGTCTTGTATTTCTGTCTTCGCCCTTTCTTTTGGTACTTCTCCGAGCAGGTTGCTGTTTGGAAGAGTACTCTGCATGATCCAACTCAACAGATAATGTTTCGTATGCCGCGACCACAACATCGTAACAAAGAAAAGATTCAGCAATGCACAGGGGAATATTTTTGAGTTCGGGGTATCCATTGGCGCCCTTATAGATTGTAACAGCAAGCAGAGGAACAAAACGTTTAAGTTCCAGAACCCATTGCAGAAGTAAACGCATGGGCACAATTATCAAGGTGGTGCCCGCAGTAAAGATCGTCTTGCCATTCGCGAGTTTGTGAGGCTCTTGCAGCTTGTCTTTGGGCCGTTGATTGATCAAAATAGTGGCAGCAACCTCAAAGGTTTTCCCAAGACGCACTCCTTCAGCAAGTATGCCCTTTGCTGCATGGAGATGCAAGCTTGGTTCTTCATTCCATTTAGCGATAGCCTTTGCTGCTGCCTTGAATGAAGCAGTTTGGGCAGTGTACTTGTTGTATAGGAAACGTGGTTGGCTTCCGTACATTGCTACTTCCCATCCAAAAGTATGCTTTGAAAGTAGTCTGCGTAAAAGTTGACCAATCAGATTCAAATCAAGGTGACTACCACATCTGAAATCCTGCAAATTCTGAGAGTCCTCTTGCGACACAACAGGGATGGGTTCATATTTTGAGGTCTTCTGATTGTATTGCAAATTTTCCTTCTGTAAAATCCAGTCAACTGTTTGACGTTGAAAGGGGAATAACTTATATCTGAGCTCATATTTTTCAAAGTTGGTGGCGGGGACAGGAAGCATGTCTGCTGTGCAAGCGCTGACAGCACGATAGAACAAACGAGTGGATACCTCATGTGCATCGTTTAATAAAACTTCGTGGAGTTTTGGAGAATCGAGATTGTAGTTGACTGAGTCGATTTTGAAGGTATTATCAGCAATACATCTCAAATTCTCCGCGACTGGCTGCAGTATTTCCAGAGAGAGATCGAAACTGGTTTTGATGGCCATGCGGATGGTAATTCGTAAGTTATTCTCGTCAAAGTTCGGGTGTATACGTAATTCGGGATCATCCAAAACCAATCCATTCAGTTTTGCTACTGTCAGCGAATATGTCAAAACCGTGGTAACCTTCCATAAAGTAAGCATCAGAATTGCTCTTTCACTGGAGGAAATAATTGAGTTATCACTGCAATCAATTAAAACAAGGGCTTTCGAGGGTAGTTTTAAACTGTCCAGAGCCTTCGAGTAGATAAACATAGTCGAAGATTTCGTATCAACCCTGATACAAATGGAATTGACGTGGAGATCATATGTATTCCCATTGTAAGGCCAAACTGCTTTGTAATTCGCCAAAGGGTCGGGGCATTCAAACGGTAACTCGAAGGATTCGTCGAAAAGAGTAACCAAGTCTTCATTAACGGCATCGTCATTTCCCTCTTGCAATAAGCGAGTGAGTCTGTACCGGACTGTGCTTTTTACAAGGCTTAAAATGCCCAGGATGTCGAGGCGGTTCACCTTCATGAGTATATGTGAGAGTTGATCACTTCTTTCCTTTGCGTGATTTGACTTGTCCGGTTAGGAGCTATGCCCACGTTAGATAAAGCTTCCAGGAAGCTGGAGTCAATGATGACGTAACATACGGGTAATCCAATATGAATCACAGCTAGATTATTTGTGAATAGAGTGAGCTTCTTCGATATGTTGATTGTAATTCAATGGAGGATTGGTGTGTGTCTACTACGGTATAGGCTAGCCGGTGGGTGTCTACTACGGTATAGGCTAGCCGAATTCCGTCTGCCACACTCGCCGCTCAAATTCAATGGACATCATCTTCCCAATTGACATTCTCCCAAATTCCACCCAAGTTTCACAGAGAGCTTGATATCAGGTAAGTTCGGTCAACAATATCATTCTTCCATCACGACCTGTTGAGATTTAAGGGACTTCTGCACCTAATTTCTACGTCCACCATAGAGCTCTTCACGAAAATGCTGCGAGGCATGGGGGCCTTGCCTTGTGCTAATATCTTAATCACGATCACCAATGATGACCATATTCGCTGAAAAGAGGGCTTACTTTCAAGTCCATGTTTTCCAGAGCCTAGTAAATTATCGTTAACCTTATTGCAACTACCTCCAGTCATTATCTTCTTGATTGAAGTGCCACGAAGCAAACGACCTCGAGGCTTCTACAAGTTGAAGCTTCAGGTGTTGACTGAGCTTCGCTACATCAACGGGATCCATCAGACCCCAATCGATGCTTCCACTGTTTTCTCTGATATTGTTGATACTATACTTCCTTCCAAACTTTCGAGGCTTTCAATTAATCTGCAATTTTCACATATTACTATAGAAGGTCTACGTAGTTATCACATCGGTGTTGATTCTTCAGTCTGTCCTCTGGGATACGACACTCAGATCCATAAATGCTTCTCTTTCTCTCGTTAGGCTACAGATATCTAATCATCGTTTATACACAATCCAATCATAATCTGATTTGACTCAATAACATTATGTGGTATTTACGACCGGCTCGTGGTGGCTATATGATTTATATGAGTGTTTAACCAGGGGGCAATTGCGAGGCGTCGACGATGTCGGCGGCATCAATGGCGTCGTCGTCTTCTTGGATGCCTTCCAAGGGGGTTCTCGGCAACGCCGTCATCCCCGTGCGGGCAATTTCCAAAATGCCAAACGGTTGCAAAAGCTGGATGAACAGCGACACCCGCGACGGCTTCGCCAGCAACTCGACGATGACGTTGCGGTCGGAGATGTCGACGATCTTACCGCCGAACTTCTCCGTAAGCGTGGTGATGTGGTCCAAGTGGTTGTGCTTTTGGCGCAACGCCTCCGAGGGGGCCAAGTTCAGCGGGTGGAACTGCGATTCCTTAGCGCCCAAGTCGGGGATGGCCAGCCCTTCGTTCACTTGCACTTTGTGCAGGGCGATGAGGTCCTGGAAGTATTCCGGGCCCAATAACGACACGCGGCACATCAATAATTCCCGCTTAACGGTCTCGGCGTTGGTGTAGTCAAGCACGGCGTATACCGGCACCAAGTCCTCGATCTGGCGTCTCGCCTGTTCGATGACGGCGTCCTGACCTCTTAAAACAATCGTCATCCGCGACAAGTCCTTGACTTCGGTGTTGCACACCACCAACGAGTCGATGTTGAACCCGCGGGCGGCGAGGGTCCCCGACACCAGCGACAACACCCCGGGCTCGTTTTGCACGAGACAGTTGAGCACGTGTTGTTTGCGGGGGGCTTTAGAGGGGACGGGGGTCTCGTAGAGGATCGACAGCACCGCTTCCTCCGCCAGCCAGTTGGGCGCTTCAAACGTGGGGAGGGGCGGGCGCTTCTGGTTGCGGTGCAACAGCTTGTACGCTAATGCTGAGGTCGACAGCAGCAGCAGCTTGCTCCGCACAGCCTGTCTGAAAACAGTCCGAATCATCGAAGATAGGGGTGGGGGTTGTCGGTGGTGTGAAGTAGTGTGGAGGAGGAAAAAGTCAGTGGTGGAAAATTGTGCGCGGGTGGGTGAGCGTTTGAGATTTTGGATGTCCGGTACCGGCCCGGTAAAAACGGTAGGGTGTCGCCACGGACCACCGGATGCCCTCAACCATATTCAGTGGTAGTGGTGGTGGTGGATGAAGCGAGTAGCGATTATATTATGTGGTTTTGTCGTTTGATTTTGGTTGTTCCCCTGTTGGGAGTGGTGTGAGGGGGCGCCCCCTAATCGGAGGTATAGTGCCGAGATGACTCGTTATGAGTCATGGGAGTATGGGGTACCGCGACACGTATAGTTTATATCAGCCAGAGAACCACAGCCTCTAAACCCGTCAAATTGAATGAAATATTCTAAATAATGGTTTTATTAGTGCCAGTAGGCTCCAATAAGTTTCAGAATCTATGGGATCATTAATTTATTGGTCTAGACTACTACTGGTCTTCGCACGGCTAATCCGTTGCGTATCGGGAGGGACGCTTTTGTGAGTTGATCTAGCGCTATCAATAAACAGTGGTGTAGAGGTAGGACTGAGAGAAGATTCGTAAACTGATTGATGATTAGCCCAGCAGGAGTGGTGTCGCCTCTAGCCGCACCACAAACCGCTTCCAGGTCTCGCAACTGTTTGATAAGTTTGGTACCTGTGGCTAGTCCAGCAAAATCAACCCCATACTCTAAGAATACATTCACCACTCAATCAATAAAGCTTCTGAAAGTAGTGTAAACCATGCTACAAGTTTTTTGGTTATCAAAAGTCAGTTGTTGATGTTCGTGCGGCTCGAACTTTCACTATAAAGGAACGACTCTCTGCTGTGTTAATAGTGACGAAAGTAATCTAAAAAATACACATTGACTACTAGTACCATCCTTGTTTTATTTGTCGTTAATTGGTTCTAGCAACAACGGTTCCACTAACCGGCAATGATTAAATTCCACCCCATCGATTCAACAACCATTAATTGGTTCCAGCAACAACGGTTATTACTCCTTGCAATGGCTTGAATCCCACTACTATAGATTTAATAACCTTCAATTGGTTCTGGCAACAACAGTTTCAACTCCCTGCAATAGCATAAATACCATTTCCATCGATTAACTAACCACTGATTGGTTCTGGCAACAATGGTTCTACCATCTGCCAATGGCTATATTCTTTTTACCTTGAATTAAATGACCCTTTATTAGTTCTAGCAAACAACGGATACACTCTCTGGCTCTGGCAGCCACCATCTTCGATTAATTAACTACTAGTTGGTTCTAGCAACAACGGTTCTACTTGCAGACAATGACTAAATTCCACCCCAATCACCATCAATTGGTTCTGGCAACAACAGCTACACTCTCTGGCACTGGCTACAACCATCTACCTTGGCTACAAGTACCATCTTTGTTTTTTTTTTGTCGTTAATTGGTTCTAGGAACAACGGTTATCACTCCCTGCGATGGCGTAAGTCCCACTTCCTTTGAGTTAGCAACCATTAATTGGTTCTGGCAACAACGGGTACACATCTGGCACTGCCTAATATGGTTTCTGGTACCATAATATTTTACTTGTCATTAATTGGTTTTAGCAAACAACAATTAAGTTATCTGCAATAGCCTAAATCCCACTCACCATTACTTGGTTCTGGCAACAACGATTCTATCATCTAGCACTGGCTAGATTCTCTACCTTGGCTAAAACCTTATTTGTCATTGATTGGTTCTAGCAAACAACGGATACACTGCTTGGCACTGGCTTAAGTCCTCGACATTCCAATCGTTGTTAAATTCACCAATAGAATGAACCTCATAGACGTTGCAAATATCGTATTTGCACTATCAACGATAGTTCCCTGATACTATAATCATTTTCCAATTGGCAAATCACAAATTATAGAGGTACAGTCAGTCTAATTGTGATATCTATAGGTTTGATTTATTGTTATGCACATGCTACTTCTTTTGGTTGCCGATGTGGTTGATGGCCGACCCCGCCTTGAAAAAATCGACCTGGTCCTTGGACATGGTGTGCTTGCACTCGATGTCGAACTGGGACCCGTCGCGCTTCGTGACCCGCACCGTGAGGCTCCCGCCGTTGTTGCCGTCGTTAGCGATCATCTCCTTCAAGTTGACCGTGGTCAATTTGTCGCCCAGCGAGAGGCGGTCGTAGTCGGCCTCGTCGGCGAACGTCAACGGCAACATCCCTTGTTTCTTCAAGTTGGTTTCGTGGATGCGGGCAAACGACTTCACCAAGATGATCTGCCCCCCCAAAAATCTCGGCGAGAGCGCCGCGTGCTCACGAGCGGAGCCCTCGCCGTAGTTGTGTTCGGCGACGACGACCCACGGCCGCTGTTCCTGGTTCCATTTGATCATGAGCTCGGGAATGCCGTAGGCGGTGCCGTCGAGGTCGTAGGCCTTATTGACCTCGCCCGTCTCCTTGTTGACGGCGCCAATCAACGTGTTATACGAGATGTTCTCCAAGTGGCCCTTGTACTTGAGCCAGGCGCCGGCAGCGGAGATGTGGTCGGTGGTGCACTTGCCTTCCACTTTGAGTAACACGGTGGTTTCGAGTTCGTCGCCGTTCCAAGGGTTAAACGGCTGCAAAAGCTGCAAGCGGTCCGACAGCGGCAGCACGTTCACCTCGACTTCCGGTTTGGGCTGGGGCAGCGGGTCCGGGTAGAACTGGGCGCGGCCTTTGATGAAGCCGGCCGAGGGTAACTCGTCCCCCTGAGGCGGGTCAAACTTGAACTGAGTGCCGTCTTCCTTGGTGATCGAGTCGGTGACGGGGTTGAAATTGGCGTCGCCGGAATAGATCATCGCCGTCACCATATCCGGCAGAGTCAAGAAGTTCATCGTGTTGCGGTTGCCGTCGTTACGGGCGCGGAAGTTACGGTTAAACGAGGTGAAGATGGCGTTGGTGGCCGTCAGCAGCTTATCGATATCGGTACGGTCCCACTGGCCGATACAGGGCCCGCAGGCGTTGGCAAGCACCACGGCGCCGTTATCTTCGAATGTTTTGACGAGGCCGTCGCGCTCGATCGTCGCCCGGATCAATTCCGACCCGGGGGTGACGAAAAACGGGATCTTGGGCTTGAGCCCGGCGGCGGCGGCCTGGCGCACAAGCAGCGCCGCCCGCAGCATGTCCTGGTACGACGAGTTGGTGCACGAGCCAATGAGCCCCGCCAGCACCGTCAGCGGCCACCCTTCCTCGGCGGCCTTGGCGCCAAACTGCGAGATCGGCGTCAGCAAGTCGGGGGTGAACGGCCCGTTGACGTGGGGCTCGAGCGTCGTCAAGTCGATCTCGACGACCTTATCGTAGTCGGCGCCGGCGTCGGCGCCCAAAAACCCGGCGGCGTGCGCGGCGTCGGCGGCGGCGGCGATGGGGGCGCGCCCCGTCTCGACAAGATAGCGCCGGTGCGCCTCGTGGTAAGGGAAGGTCGAGGTGGTGGCGCCGATCTCGGCGCCCATGTTGCAGATCGTCGCCATCCCCGTGCACGACAACAGCTTGACGCCGTCGCCGAAATACTCGACAATGTAGCCGGTACCCCCGCGCACCGTCAAGATGCCGGCGAGCTTGGTGATGACGTCTTTCGGCAGGGTCCACCCAGACAATTGGCCCGTCAATTTCACCCCCAACACTTTGGGCGCCTTCAATTCCCACGGCGTCCCCGTGAGCGCGTCGACGGCGTCGGCGCCGCCGACGCCAATGGCGATGGCGCCCAAGCCGCCGGCGTTAGGCGTGTGCGAGTCGGTCCCCAACATCATAAGCCCGGGCACCGAAAAGTTCTCAAGCACGATCTGGTGGATGATCCCCAGCCCCGGGCCCCAGAACTGGATCCCGTACTTCTCGCCGCACAGCTGTAAGAAATCAAACACTTCTTTGTTGGTGGCGATCAGCGCCTTCAAGTCGTCGTCGGCGCCGTCCTTGCCGACGATCAAATGGTCGCAGTGGATCAGCGCCGGCACCGCCGTCAGCTTCATGCCGCAGGTCATAAACTGGAGGAGCGCCATTTGCGCCAGCGCGTCCTGCATCGCCACCCGGTCGGGGTTAAGCTTTAAGTAGCGCTCGCCCCTAATGTCACTGACCAGCCGGGCGCCGGCCAACAGCTCCTCGGGGTCGACCAAGTGCGAGTACAAGATCTTCTCCGCAAGCGTCAATTTCGCCGCCGGCAACTGGCGGCGCACCCGCTCCAAGTTGGCGACGAGCTTTTGGTAAGGCGGGGTTCTCAGCGCATACTCGGCGGGGACGTCGAACGCGCGCGTGGCTAGCAAGCGCCGGGCTCTAAGCATTTGGCGGTGGAGTGGCGTGGTGAGTGGTGGAAAAGTGTAATTTTTCACCCCCGGCTTTTTATGCTGGCGCTGTATGCCGGCGCCTGTGCGCCGGCGCGGCGCGGCGAGCCGACTATGAGTCAGCCATCGCCGGCGGCACCGATAAAACAGGGAGGGAATTAGAAATGGGGTGAAGTGATTCGTTTGGTGGTTTTTATGGAAAATTATTTCATAATAAAGCTTTTATTATTAAGGATATTGGCGGCAATCGGTAGTTGTGAGTTAGCTGCTGACTATGACTCAGAGGTGATTGGCTCGCGCGCGCGGCGCGCGATAACATGTGAATCATAATTTTTTCGCTGGGCCGCACCGGCGCCGGTACCGGTCACCTGACAAAGATTGTGGAGAAGGCCCGATGAGACAGGTACACTTTTGGTCCATTATGTACGGAGTAAGGCGACGGCACGATGACACAGGGGTACACCTTAAACTATGCTTATGTATGATTTAAAGCTTGATACTATGCTACGGGAAAGAACGTTGCGTTAGCCGTCTCTAGAATGGGTCACAATCACTGCTTCGTAAATGGCTACAATAAAGTCATTGCTGCCCGTTTTAGATCATGCTGCTTAACGTATATCTGCATGGACTCCGCTAAGTTTTGTAAGCATACGCTTCTGCTTGGACTCACAGTGTACGAAGGCGTCATGAACTCGAAAGTGTGATTCAGCACACCAATACTAAGTCGAAAGGCCATTTAGATGTGAGTTTGTTACTGCTTTGACAAGATTTAATGTCCTTTACTGATAAGTGGCAATTTTTTGAGGATGTTGAAAGTATCATAAAATCGCACAATATCGATGACGATACACCCGAATCAATAAAGAGAAGAACCATGGTCAAAATTTACCTTTGACTGTATCTTTCCCTCCGTGCTTTGTGTAATTGGCCAATTGAATACGTTCTTGGTGTGGTTTGGACTGATTTTTTCAATTTCATACACGAACTAAAAACTGATTAAATGATTGGGCATTGCCCATAGACCCCAAGGTCTAAGAAGCTGAGTCAGACAGCTCGTCTTAATACAGGTTGTCGTCAGACGGGTGGATGCTCGGCACGTTGCTGTCGCCATCACCGGGGTAGGTGTGGAATTTGCAGTTATTGAAAACGAATTGATGAATCGATACCAGGCAAGGAGTGGGATGCTTCACTTTAAGATGGCAACGTTGCTCATCTTCACCTTCAGACGCAACAGCACGTCTCTTGCAGGGTCCGAGTTCGGCAACGGCCATGCCAATTGACGCCGTGCCCCATTGCCAATTGCGTAAATAATCTTGGCCTTGATAACATGGTCTATGCCCGATTGAAGAACCGCCGTCACGGCATTCTACCGGACGTTTCCCTTAAAAGCAAGGAGGACGTTAGCGATCAGGTTGATTTCGAATTCCGTAAGTTCGGAGAGCTTGACAACGTGCTGAAGGTACGAGTTTTTGACCTACAAGGTTGCCAGAGACGCTAGTTTCCCGATCACTGCCGCAGGGCAGCCAGGATTACAACGCTAGATCAGCCAACACGTTCCCAGCCAACTCAGCGAACGACCTAGGTAGGTGAATAGCCCATAAAATGAGCCCTCTGTACTTTCTGGGCGTGATACTGAAATAAAATCTGTCATCCCGCAAGCATAGCATTAACGCCACAAGCAACGTCGCCTTGGTAAGCATTTCCGGCATAGTTTGCGACAATGTCATCACCCAATCCCCTAAATCATAGTTACGAACGAAGTTCGCTGACAAAGACTCGATGTAGGCAATCAGATCATAGCACGCCTTCACTTTGGCGTCTTCCAGTTCGGTAGCCAGAGCAACTTCGAGAACGTTTTGCCCCGGCGGCGGAATTCGTAAGCCAGCGTGATTGCCAGCATGATTGACCAACAAAAGTACGACAAGGTGAACGTAGTAATTAACTTACATGAATTGTCCCTGTTCATTCTGGGAGCCATGACCCAACAGATTCGAGATAGGTGGCGGTCGAGATCGGTTGGGTAAGTCTGACAAAGAGGGACAAAGGTGAAAGGATAGGGCATGATATAGCTCAAGGAATATGGGTAGTGAACTGGATTATCAGCCGAAATATGGCCAGGGCGTTAATCTGCACTAGTTGATCGTCTTTGATGCAAAAAAAAAAAAAAAAAAAAAAAAAAACTNTCGCATATACTACTCAGCTACTGTCACAAGCTCATCAGGACTATTTTTATATATCATACACACTCAATTAGACGGTTACAGCTGCCAACTTCATGAGACCATCATCCAAGAGTATGGGAATGATGTTCGCGAGACCCAGCTGGCACATGTAGAAAAAACTACTTTCACCAAGTGTGACGTGGAGGAGCAGGTTCAATGTCTCCGTTTCCTTTTCTGAAGCTTCACTGAGCTTATTTTCGTAATCGTTCAAAAATTGCTGGAGCTCCTTCAGGTCTATGGGACTGAGTTTTATTTGGCCTTGGAAAATCATTTGGTAGCGTTGCACAAGCCTCTCTTTATTCTTTCATAACTGGTCTTTGATCTTGAGCAAAACCTGTACTATTTCGTGAATAGTCAAATCACGAAGCTTGTCCGCCAAGTTGTTGATAGCCTTCGCGTTGGCTTTTGACCAAGCCTTCTCAAAATCTTTAAGAACACGATCCAACTTGAATTTTTCGTCATCAGTGATTTTTGGAGTACGGTCAAATGTGCCACTGATAATTACAAACAGTTCGTGATTGACAAGTCTGGTATAAATTCGTTGGCCGAGCTCGTCCAGCTTCAAGGCGAAGTCGCTGTGAAGTGGCTGAAACGAAAGTGGACGGTCTGGAGATACATCCAACGCTGGGTTCACTTTATACACCATGTTAGTGCTCTGTTGCTGTTGGTTCGAGTTGGATGTTGAGTTATTTGCAAAAGTGATTTTGAGTAAGGGTCTACAATTCTTCGTTATCCCATAATTTAATTAAATATGAAGCATTCAAAACCTCGAAATCGTAGTCGACTCGAGTTTTAATCAATGTTAGTGTGCTGAAGCTGTATCTCTCTTCAATTCTTTATTCAAAACAATCAATTCGATTACAATTGGAGGTCAGGGTTGTCTTTCTCATTAATTCGTACCTTCTGGGGATACCACTCAACATGGCGTGCTTAATATGCTTGAAGTGAACTGAAAATGCAGCGTACTTATACATTAGTAGCATGAAAACACCAATTTTATCCATTTCTACTAAGAGATTGGTTCCATTCTTTTTGAATCGATTGGTGATTTATGCAACAGAAATCGAGGTAATCTCAAAATCGACACCATGGCTATATACTTAATATAGAAGACATGATTTTCAGATAATTCAATTGCCAAAATTTCAACTTTACACTGAAATTACTCTTTCTCTTTTTGTCTACTATGACATCATTGACCATACCACAAATTTCGTATAATTGGCATTGTGGCCGAGTGGTCTAAGGCGGCAGACTCAAGCTTAACGTATATAGCTTCTCAACTGTGAGGTTGGGGTTTCTGTTATCGTAAGATGCGCGTGTTCGAATCACGTCGATGTCATTATTTTTTCACTCACACAACCCATCATCTTTTTATTTAAATTAAGTCATGATCTATCGTCTCCTCTTTTCCTGTCTGGTTGTACTGTCTCTGTCTTGTTGTCTCAGCCCTATCCCTATTTATCTTCGCGCGCGCGCGCCTACCACTGACCCCGCCACCCGATGTCACTAGCCGATATCAACTTCACCCAATTGCGGGACGGCGCCGTCGACGTCGACCCCGACATCCGGTTCATGGCCCTCCAGGACTTCCAGAAATACGTCACGCTGGCGCCGTTCCAGGAAACCCAGATCGCGTCGAAAAACGTCGCCACGTTCATCCCCAAGTTGTACGACCTCATAAAGGACCCCATCCCCGACGTCCAGCTGCACGCGGTGAAACTGGTGGCGCCGTTGGTGACGTTCTTACCCATAGACATGGTGGTGGAGGTGGCGAGCCACTTGTACGCGATGATCACCGCCGACCGCCACCACCAGCCGGGGCCCGGCTTCACCACCACCGTGCCGACGATGGCGCTCCGCGGGTTGATCCAGGCCGGCGCCGGCGGCAAGCTCGACGCCAAGCTGGCGCGGGTGTTGGCGGACACGCTTTTGGCGCTCGCCGAGCCCGACGCCCCGCGGTCGCTCGACGCCATGGAGGTGTTGACGGACACCATCAGGCTGTACGGGTACGTGCTCAAGCCGAGCGAGGCGAGCCGCCTAGTACAGCTGCTCATCGAGATTGCCATTGCCGGCGACGGTGGCGACGACACCGCGAAGTTGGTGGGGCGGCGGGCGGTGGTCGCCGTCGGCTACTTGTGCCACTACCTCACCGACTTCGACGCCGCCGGCGCCAGCATTCTTCGCCAGCACCACCGCCCCGTCCAGTACGCGTTGCTCTCGACGCTCGTGTCGTCGCAGCTGGCGACGCGCCACCTCGCCGACAGCTCCATCGACGTGGTGTGGGCGTTTGCCAAAACCGACCTTGACCCCGTCGACATCGACGACACCGACTACGACCAGGTCAACGACCACACCCACACCGTCGAGCGGCTGCTTGAGTTGCTCACCCAGGTGTTGGGGCTGCCCGCCTGCGTCGACTTGACCCTGGTGGAACAAGAGGTGGTGGGGATCTGCGAGCGGTTTCTCCGGTATAAGCCGTTTGGCGACGACGACGACGACTACAGCGACGACGACGACATCGAGTTCAGCGACGACGACGACATCGGCGACGACGGCGACGAGGACGGGCTGTGGAAAGTGCGCACCAAAGCCTGCGAGTTGTTGGCGGCGGCCGCCACCAGGTTCGGCGCGTTGGGACTGCTGGTTCCGGTCCCCCCCATCACCGACGACAACGAGCACGTGAGCCACGTCGCCATCAAGACGGTGGAGGCGTTGATCACCAACGGCAACGTCAACATCATCCCCGACGTCGTCCACCTTACCCTGACGAGATTACTCGAGAAACCGGGCCAATTGGGGGTCACGTTGAAGCTAGTCGAGGTCGTCAACGACGCCGATCTCACCCACGACACCGTCGAGGTGTTTGCCAAGCTGAAGCACCCGACGAACTCGTTGGATGTCCTCGCGTTTTTCCGGTTTGCCGTCGACGAAGCCAAAGTTGACCGCGACCTGATGTTGATTATTCTCGACGACTTGATCGCTAATCTTGACGATAAGCTGTTCAACATCATTGGCGAGCTGATCTCGGTGCTCACCAGCTTGTTTGACCGCGCCGACGGCGGCTCCATCGCCGACGCCACCCGGGTGCTGAAAATCGCCGCCAATCTCCAGGAGAAGATCGCCAACGCCAACAAAAAGTACTCACTGGACTTGATCCAGCTTGCCATCCGCTGTCTTGCCGTGCTTGTGTCCCGGGTCAGCGCCGACGAGTGGACGCAGCCGGCGGTGGATCTGATTGTGTCCCAGTTGGCGGGGGAAACCAATGTTGTCACCACTTTGGAGAGCTTATTCTACATTTGCGATAAGCTTCTGGAGGCTCAGGCGCGTCACGTCATCCACCAGTTGACGGGGCTCATCATCTCCAACCACGAGACCGTGTGTACCGCCGCGTTGCGCCTCCTCTACCACTTGCTTATCCACGGCCACACCCACGACATCGATACCCAGGCCGTGGTGCAAAACGTGTTACGTTTGGTGGCGGCGTCGCACGCGCGTACCGTCGATGAGGAGCTCAAGGTGTTGACTTTGCTTAATCAATACCCCCCCGAAGTGCTGGCCATGGTGATTAAGCTCATTAACAACAGTCTGGACGAGAAACCGGTAGCGGACTCGGGGTACGACCTCGTGCGGTCGATGGCGATCGCCGACGGCGACTTTGGCCAGTTTTACCAACAGCTTTCCGAACGCGTCGACAAGCTGAAGTTTGCTGCTGCCCGCGCCTTGGCCACCGTGGCGGTGGCAGGCAAGTTGTCGGAACCAGTCAGAGCGGCGGAAGCGGCGCCGACGAGTCTGGTATTCAACTTGAACTTCCTTGGGTGTGCGGCTGATTTTGGCGTGGCCGTGTCGACCAAGATCAACGACCTTTTGGACCTGACGCCCCAGACGAAAGACGAAATTCTGGCGGTATCGTACTGCGTGGGGCTGATCACCAAGGCCAACCCACAGCAGTTGCCGGTGCTCGTCGACTTCTACGTGACGTCGCCGCTGTCTAAGCACCGCTGGCTCGCGGTGATGGCCCTCAAGGGGCCCGTGGAGGTGGTGGACCCGGCCACGGGCAAACAGGTGTTTGAGACCATCGTCGAACGGGTGGCGCTGATCTCTGAACTTGGCAACAACGTTACTGAAGAGCTTAAAAGCTCGGGCGAAGTGCTCAGTGAAATCTGTTTGCGTAACCCGGAAATGTTGACGCAATTGCTTGCCAAGTTCCACCAGCGCCACGGCGATTTGCTGTTGCTGCTGGTGTACGTGATGATTGCCATCGCCAAGCAGTTGGTCACCAAACTCGACGACGACGCCAAGTTGGCTCAATTCCTCCAGCTTGTGTGCCACTACATGGACGTGGTGGTGAATTTGAAGGTGCGCGAGGCGGCGGTGGGCACATTGTTGACGGCGTTGCACAACCGCACCGCGGTGGTGATCTCGCTTTTGACCGACACCGTGTTGCCGGTGTTGTTTAACCAGATGGTCCCCGAGGAGCTGTTCAAAAAAGTGATCCAAATGGGGCCCCACAAATACATCCACGACGAAGGGGTGGTCATCCGCACCTTGACCTACGAGTTCCTCTACTCGTTGGTGCTGCTCACTTCTGAAGTGAAGCTGGAGGTGCTCGAAGAAGTGGTCAAAAATATGGTGCTTCTGGGGCTCACCGACACCGACGTGGTCACGAACAAGGTCGCCTGCGAAAACCTCATCCATTTCATCGACTGCCACCAGTCGGAGTTTGCTCGGGTGGTGATCGGGGTGCCGCTGACGTTCTCGACGTTCATGGACAACCTCAGTGCCTTGCTCCAGAAGAACGTTGCTAAAAATGCCCACCCACAGGACGTGGAATCGTTTGAAAACCGTATCGAGGCGATCGTTAAGTTGGTGAAGAAGGTCGACCAAACCTACAACTTCAAGGAGGCTTACCCTTCCGACGTCGTCCAGGCGTGGCAGCGCTTTCTCAGTCTGGTCAAAATGAGCAAAGGGGCTCGCTATTTGTAGGATGAATATATGACACCATATGGCTTCTGTCAACTCAATTTTATTGCTTCAGACTATAACCTTAAACTAAACCCACGATTGGCTCGTGGCTCGCCGTCAAGTCGACGACTTCCCGATGACGGGTCCCCTCATCACGTATTGAGCACTTTAGGGAAGAAGTCAATATTCGACTCGAAATTCGGGTACGACAAAGATGTGTATTGAAATTTGCATATGCATAATGTTATAGGTTTTTGGGTGATCATTGGAGGGAGATCCTAATCTTCATGTTTTTTGATTTCGACAAAGTGATCGTCATCGACGCCGGCGGTGATTTCCTCGAACGACGATGTCTCGGTGTTGCCGTCGGGCGCTTCCTCGGACTCTTCGTGGGTGGTGGTCATCGCGGGGGGCCGGTCGAAAGTCAGCGAGCGAGAGAAGCCCTCGGTAACGAGGCCATCAGGCTTCTCCGATGAATAGGTCAGGGTGCGGGTAAAGTCGCCTTCACCCGCACCTCGAGCAGAACCAAGATCACTATCGGTTCTGAACATGCCTCTGATCCAGTCCCCTTCAGTGGTGGCTTGCGAACCCATGCCAACACTAGGAGCGACGCTATCATCAAGGTCAGAGGCAGTGCGGGTCACGGGGTTGACGACAACGTGAGTGTCCCCTTCGGGGAAGCTCCCCGGGATATCACCCTGCACCTTTCCAAACGCACCGTTGGTGTCATCGTGGATCGGCTTGCCCTCGGTGGTGGCGGGGGAATGGGCGGGTCGCCCTGGACGTCGAGGTACATGCGGTACGTTGGCACTTTCTTCCGCTGTCGGTCTCGGTACTTCAGTAGGCTGAGAATCTTCGGTCGAAGGGGTATTTGTCGAGGGGGTGGTCGGCTCCACGGTGGCGTCAGCGACCCCTTCTCTAGGTCCAACGGTGGCGTCATCAGCAGCTTCGCTGGGGTGAGATTGCACCGTCAGCGCGTTCAAAATGTCGGTATCGCTGTCATCCACCAACGTAACCGTCTCTTTCAATTCGGACATGTGGTCTTCTTCAATACCCTGTTCCGAGACAATCAGATCGGTGCGGTGTGAATCGAGAGGAGGCGCCGGTTCGGCGGCGGGAGTTATTGACCAGAGCGTCCCAGTCGAGATTTGGTAGCGAGGGGTGTGTGTGGCGTTCTTCGCCTCTTCAAGGGCTTTGGGAAGCCGCTTCTTCGGTCCCCGAGCCCGTCTGGGACCCGCCACTTTCGTCGACGGCTTGGTATCGTCGTCATCGGCGGCATCGTCATCCTGAGACTTCAATTTGCGAAGCATTTCTGGGGTGGCCGCCATACCCGGCAAGGGAACCCCCATGCCCATCATCCCCTGGAGATTTTGAGCGAACCCGCGCTTATCCGCCGAAAGCTTACGCGACGACGACCCTTCGTCCTTCGGGGGCGACGCCAGTCTCGCTGGCGGTTGCGGGTTCTTCAACATCTCTTGGAACGCGGCAATCTTACTGGAAAGCTTCTTCGGTTTGGGAGGAGGCGCCTTGGGTTTTGCCGCCGCCGTAGCATCGTCAGCGGCTGCCGTCGATGCCAAACTGGGAACGGAAGGCTTCTTGGCCGGGCGACTGGGGACGGAAGGTCGTTGTGGGCGTTTAGGAATCACCGGCGTTGCCGTCGATGTCGATGGTTCGCGTTTGTCGCCATCAATTGGTTGAGAGGGTTTTGTCGCTTCTCCAGGAGCTGTCAGCGTTTTCTTATCGCCAACATCTTGTTCAGGGTTAGTCTCCTTTGGTTTGTCATTGTCGTTAACGTTGTCGTTGGTCGTCGGTGCCTCGACATCATCCAGGGACCGGGTGGCTGTGGCGTCCGAGTTATCGTCGTGATTAACTGGCTTCGCCTCGTCGTCAGCCTGAGGTTGCTCGTTGACTTTTTCCTCGATCTCCTCGAACGTGGACACGGGTTTGGGGTCGGCATCTTTGTCAAGTGTCACCGTTTCCAGGGGTTGCTTGGGTGTTGGCTGTGGTTCAACCGGTTCGTTATCGACGGGTTCGACAGGGTCCAATTCAGCAGCGTCCTTCCCACTTGACTCCGTGGCGGCGATCTTGGCTTCAGTGGGTTCCGAAGAGGTGACGGTCTGGGGCTCTTCTGTGGTAGTTTCCGAGGTGTTGTCGGTTGTTTTAGGCGTCGCTTCGGAGCCGATGACGGGGGTCGCCTCAGGGTGGCCGAACCGGGATTCCGCCGACGGCGCCGGGGACAGCGTCAGCACCATATGGTTGCGGTCGCGTTGGTCCTCGACGTCCTGGCTCACGGTTTCCTGGTCGTCGTCAAACAGCAGGTCTTCGGGCCCCCCCGGGATCGGCTCGTCCTCCTCCACTTTCATCGACACCTGCGGCTCGGTGTTGCCGGGGGTCTTATCGCCGTCGTCGTCGTCGTCGTTGCCACCGCCGGCGAGCCCCAGTTGTTCGGGGATCGGGATCAGGTCCCGATGGGGGGTGGCGGCGTAGGCGTCGATGATCAGCAGCTCGCTCATCGCCGTCAGCAGCGACCGCTCCAACGGCTTCAGGGGAGCGGGTTCGGTGGTCAATTCGGCGGTCAGTTCCGAGGTGACCAGCTCGGTGGTGTTTGTCCGGCGCCCCGGACGACTGGGCACCTCGGGGATGGGTTTATCGGCGCCAGCATCGGTTTCCAGGGGTGGCGGGAGGCGAGGCGAGTCGGTTTCCGGCGTGGTGGCGTCGGGGTCGGGGCGGGGGTCCCGGTTAGGCCGCCGCGGGACTTGCGGGGGTGCCGCGACCAAGGGGTCGCCGTTGTCGCTGGCGGTGTCGCCGGCGGGCGTTGCCGCCTGTTTGGCAGGTCGGCTGGGGATGGGAGGCGTCAGCATGGGCGGGCAAAGGACGGCTACTACCGTGGTTTGGTGGTAATTGGTGGGTGGTTGGTGGTGAGTACCGCTCCGAGCAAAGGAGTGACGTTTTCGGTGACCGCGACGCGACTCCTAATTAGGAGAGGCAGAGAGATCACGCAAAATCAACACACAAACAACGGCGTAAACAGACGCTTTTTCATTTATTTAAATGATGGATAGGATGATCATGATGAGTAGGATGATAACCATCGAAAGGGTGCTGATGGTAGTCACGTGGGGATGACCATACACTACAATAGGATGTGTCTATGTGATACTGGCAGCAACGCAAAAGCGAATGTGGCACACCACGAGATATCTTAACAAATGGAATCTCGATGGAAGTTGATTTTTGTGACTTAACCAGTGGAGAGGACAAGCGGCATGGGCCCGACGAGTCGTCATTCGTAGGTGTTGTCCATGCTTGTTTATATATCTCATCGACGAGGCCATAACCATTAATTGGTGCCTGTAGACAACGGTTCCCCTACCCGAAATTGACTAAAATCTATCTCCTAAGCTGCCACCACCAATTCGATTAGATTACCGTTCATTGGCTCTAGCAACCACAATACCCGTAATGCCCTACAATTTCTCGAATGGCTACTAGTACCACAACTAATCTCATTTGTCATAGGTTGGCACTCCGTTGAATCACCTTTTATAAGTGTAAACGAGGCCCAGCGGGATACCCTCGATGAGCCATACACCGAGCCATACGAGGCCAGTTATGCTAAATCAGCTATACTAGATCAGCTATACTAGATCAGTTATACTAGATCACCTAAGCTAAACCAGCTATATTCGACCAGCTACTAGACCAGCTAGACCAGCTAGACCAGCTAGACCAGCTAGACCAGCTATCCCGAGTCGGCTAGAGTCTACTCGGCTTGCCAACGGCGCCTGGTTGACAGCAGCAGAAAGCAGCAGGGAAACACTGAGTGGGGAGGCTACCCGGTGTCGTCAATGCTAGGACAAATGGCGTCTATCCAGTGAAATCAATGTTGTGGTTGACGTTGCCATCACGTGACGTTGGTGGTCGGTTTCAGGTAGCGTACTTATCCTTGGCCTGATCCTTTTTCGCCAAGTTTAGAAGCACCTCCGTCACCGTCGCCGCGTCCTCCGCCGCCAGGGAGCTCGAGTCGTGGTCACTGTCAGCTTCGCCATCCGGTGGCGATGGTGGTGGCGGGTGGCTAGATTCAGTTCTGCTTGGATGTGGCTGGTGGGTTTCAGTTTTGCTTGGATGTGGCGGGTGGGTTGTTTCAGTTTCGCTTGGTTGGCGGCGTCTTCGTTTCAACGGCACGTAGTCGACGACGTCGTACTCCTTGATCAACTGGGCCCGGAGCTCGGCCACTTTAGCCGTGATCACCGCCTCGTCCTCGCTGGCGTCCTCGAGTTCGTCGCGGAGCTCGGCGCACCGGACCTCGAGCGCCCGCTTGGCGGCGTGTTCGTCGCGCAAGCGGTCGCGGGCCTGTTGCTGCTTGTGGTGGTGCGCCGCCGCCGTCTGGTGCTTGCGGTGGCGGGCGGCGCTTTGCTGGCGCGCCTCGTAAGGGTGGTGGTCGTGGTCGCCGGGGTGGGCAAGGTTCGTCTGGATGTGGCCCGAGGTGCCCGAGCCACGAGCGCTCTGGAGGCCAATACCGTTGTAGCTCATATATTATGGGGTAATGGTCGCCTGGCTGTTTAAGCGGCGCAAATCACCGCGCATCGCGCACCGCACCCTGATCCCCCATCACCATGATCTGGGAAACAAAAAGTAAGGAACACGACAATAAAACAACACAAGCAGTAAATAGATCAGATACACCAAAGTTTTTAGTGATACTAAGTAAAACTAGAATGGGATAAGTACCCTTAAGAGCCCCACCGGTGGTGGCTGCCACGATGGCGCCGCCGCCGCGGCATCGCGGAAAAAACAGTCGCGGGCGCCGTCGACACGTTAGCCCCCAGCGCCACAACACCCCCCATGCCCCGGTTCAAGACGAAGGTGGTGCTCCCCGTGCTCTTGCTCATCGCCGTGGTCACCTACTGGCACCTGCTCACCATCCGCGAGCACTACCGCGCGTTCACGCTGCCCCAGCCCGCCGCCCCCGCCCAGGAGAAACCGGTGGTGGGCGCCCACGGCAAAGTGAAAGACCTGCACCAGTTCTGGAACCAGGTGTTCGACCTCTTCACCGAGACCCGCCCCCAGTACGAAGGCGACGTCGACAAGGTGATCCAGTTCAACAAAAAGGACCCGTTGGAGGGGTTCTCGAAGCCGGCGCTCACGCTGAAGTTTATCGTCAGCGACGCCAACGTCGCCGCGTTTAAAGCGCTGCACGCGGCGTTGATGAAGCGCCTCCCGCAACTGCTTTCCAAAGACGTGTACAAGCCGGGGACGAAAGGGATCGCGTTGATTGGCGGCGGCCGCTTTCTGTGGCTCTCGTTCCTCGCCCTCACCAACCTCCGCAACCTCGGGCTGACCCTCCCCGTCGAGCTCATCATCCCCACCTTCTCCGACTTTGAGAAGGAGCGTGACTTCTGTACCACGGTGCTCCCCGAGCTCAACGCCCGCTGCGTGCTTGTCCCCGACGTGTTGGGGCCCGACATCATGAACCGGTGGGAGTTCAAGAACTACCAGTACAAGCCGTTGGCGCTCATCGTGTCCAGCTTCGAACAGGTGTTGTTGTTGGACAGCGACAACTACGTGTTGGAGAACCCGGACCCGTTGGTCGACCTGGACGTCGCCACCACCTACGGCATGATCACGTGGCCCGACTACTGGCGCCGCCTGATCACACCCCATTTCTACGACATCACCGGCGTCAAGGTCAATGAAAACAAGCGGGTGCGCTACAATCGCTTACCTTTGGCCCACGATAAGCTGGCGCTGGCCAACTTAAACCCCGAGGGAATGGCCTCGGTGCCCTTCCACGAGATGGAGGGGCTGATCCCGGATTTGCTGACGGAACTGGGCCAGTTGTTTATCAATAAGGCGCTGCACCCGCGCACCTTGCTCTTGCTGTTGTACTACAACATGTACGGGCCCAAGCTCTACTACCGGATGTTTTCGCTGGGGCAGGACGGCGAGGGCGACAAGGACACGTTTATCGCGGCGGCGCACGTCGTCAACGAGCCCTACTACCAGGTGAAGACGGCGATCCGCACCATGGGGTACACGAAACAGGACGGCAACTTCCAGGGGGTGGCGATGGGCCAGGCCGACCCCATCGAGGACCACGCCAAGTATGAGCTTGTGGCTAAAGATCCCGTGAAACCCACGGGGGAAGAAACGATCAATCTGGTCACCCTTTCGCAAGGCGACGACCTCTTAAAGTCGACGTTTGGCGAACACGTCCACAAGAAGATGTTTGCCATGCACTGCAACTGGCCCAAGTTCGACCCCATCGACTTGATGCAGAAGCCCGAGATCTACGACGCCGAACATAACAAGTTGCGCCACCGGTTCTACGGCGACCTCACCTATAAGAAGAACGAGGTCGTCAACGGCCAGTGGACCCCCGTCGAGGTCAACTTCGAGGTCGAGCGGTGGAAAGAGGTGCGCAGCGTCCTCTGCGAGCGGCGGATCTCGTTTGTCCATTTTAGCAAAGTCGACTTGGAGTTGATCTGCGAGTTTGCCAAGAACCAAGTCGAATGGCTCGAGGCCGAGGTGAAAAAGGACAAGGAGAAAAAGGATTAGCCCCGACGACCAGAAATACTATCGAGGACGATTGTCTCCATACCTGTTTTACGTGGGTGATCAGCGACAAACAACTGGCCTTGCCCGTCATACCCATTTTTGAGCCATACGAGTACCGACGTCCATAGTTCATCTATATAGCTCCAATTTCTATGATCACGAACTACCAGTTCTATAAGTCGTACCCAGGAAGTACAACAATATATCGCCAACATCCTCAATAAGCAAACAACCCTGGAGTTGGATCAGATGGAATTTCAAACGAATTTGTTAACTACGCTTCCGACTTGCAATCTGCCCGTTTTTTCTCGTCACTGAGTCGAAGGAGAAATGAGAGCCACTTTTTGCCACTACCGTGGTCGGAGCCAACCTCTTGCTACAGCGGCCTGGGCGACGTGGTCTGCTAACAAAAGTTACTCGTAGAAGGTTCAGTCCATCTGGGTGGGTCTCGGTTGAAGGGGAGCCAAAAATGCTACACAGCCCTGGGATGAGGTGGGCGGTTTAGATTCAGAACTTACTCAACTTGTCTTTCCAATGGTGAATGCATGCCTTGAAAAGTCCTCCTCTACATGCAGGATTTATTCAAAACCGTACATGGAACTTTAACAAGTACCTCAGTATCCAATTTGGCTCCATAGCAATCGTGCAGTCAGCGGTATAGCGTAATGAAACTGTGATGGTAGTGACATACTTGACCCACTCACGGTTTGCCACTGGTAGCACCATTATCGAGTGTACTGCATACACATAACCGTCCTGCAGGTGGTGCAAGTAGAGTGCTTTGCTCCAACTACGCCAAATCTCTTATTAGCTTGCCCAAATTCACAAAGGCAATGGCTCAGATGCCAACAATAGTTACAAAGCAAACAAGATTTTTATACTGATCCTCTCTTGATTTCAATTCATGACATTGCCGAAATTACTTCAAACCTTCTTCAGATTGAACGTTAACATTCCCAGATGTTTATCTACGATACTTCAGAGGCCAAAGAATTTTATGAAGCAAACGAGAAGTGTGTACCGACTGTTTCTGATTTTATATCACACTTTGAAGATTTTCAGCAGAAAATTCAGAAAAATCCCATTTGCTATTGTGAATACTATTTGTACCTTATAAATTACAGTGGTGTAACCCATTCTGTTTTGGAGTGTCATATACGTCACGAAAATCCTGATTGAAGATTCGTGAATGATATGTACACGCAGCGCTTGTATGCAGTACCTCAAACTTCAAAGCCTGATATCTGCATCAGAAGTGGTGCCGACATTTACTTAAGCTCACAAAATCAAATACACATACTCAAAGATTACAAAGGTGATGAAAAACACGCGCTGATTGCTCTGTAAGTGCGTGATACAGCTCACCTTGTGGTGTCCCGCATATTCTATCATGCACCTGCATACAGGCATTAACCATAGACGAGGTGCTCTCATCGCTTTAACAAATATCACAAGTTGATTCCAATGCCAAAGAAGATTTGGAGTATCCAGTTTGATTTTATGGCACACTTTTTAGTTTTTTCGTATATGTTGAACAATGAATCCTAATTCAGTGTGGGTTTTGTTTATTCGACCAAACAGAATGCCGATTCGATCAAATACGACATCGAAAAGGTCCATGCATAAGTGAAATGCATGTACGCAGGACAAACACGTTACAAGGTAACACATGCTAAACAACATGTGATAGACTAATTATCATAGATAGGACTAGTTAGTCTACTAATAAAACAACTTGATCAATGTCTGTTCTACATATGAATATTCCACTTGTGATTACACCACAAGAGCGTGGGGCTCTTGTGGATCGAGTTCAACTACAGTATAGAAATTAGAAAACTCTTATTTGCTGTCACAAACACTATTTGAATTCTATACATCACGGTGATGTTGTTACCTGTCTCTTAAAGTGAAATATACGCGGTGTAACCACCTAGTCGGAAGTTCACTTATATCATGTGCTCTTGTGTGCCGGCAGGAAACTTTACAAACAAGATAGATGTGTCTGTAGTTGTGGTAGCCACTGGGGAACTTACCAAAGAATCCGTCCAAGTTTTCTCGCCACTGACGTCACACGAGAAAATCCTCTGGCCTGTGTATTGGCACTACCGTGGTTGGGGCCAACCTGTTGCTACAGCGGGCTGGGCGACGAGGTCTGCTAACAAAAGTTACTCGAAAAAGGTGGTTCAGTTGATCTGGGTGGGGCTTGGCTGACGGGGAGCCAAAATTGCTTACACAGTCCTGGCGGTGAGGTGGGTGAGGTGCGCGAAAGGTGCCGCCCAGCCCTGGGGGTGAGGTTGCACGAGAAAATGAGGGCCATTTATGAGACTAGTGGGTAGTGAAATTCATGAGAGTAGAACAGCAGAATGTGAGAGGGAAACGATAACCAGAGATCGACGACCAGTACTGGGAGACGAGGGATTGAGCAAAAATCGACAAAGTGGCACTAACAAAGCACAATCTGGTACATACTGGTTAAGCACTGGCTCTAGCCTTTGATCTCGGCTGCTATTATGTGATTACCCGCAGTAAGCAAGCATTTGGAGGGGTGCCAAAACTGTGCCAAAGACCTGCCAGGGCCCTGCCAAAGCTGGGCAAAACTAGGCAAAAGTAGACTATGGTCGAGTTAGCCCTGTCATATTAAATAGTAAAAAGGGGGGAGAGAAAAGGGGACAATTTCACCATTTCTGGGGGAAGGCGACGACACTGACACTGGGCAACAACTCGCCACTATGGCCTACTCAAGTGCCCACCAACACAGTAATCCTTAATTTGGTGAATATCATTCTGTTCTTGACTGACGGTAAGCGTATCTACTTGATGTATCGCGCCATCAGAATCACTCTAACTCCCATCATTTCAGACCCAAACTTCTCGGGAATAGTGTGAATTTCAAAAGCAGAACCGTCAATGGGCATGGAACGTCATGACTGAGTTCTTGGTGGTTTTGGTGCGTCTTTTACAGTTCAACAAGCTTAGGAACATGGTAAGACGCCATTTACGACCCAGGTGACTCCCTTAACTCATTTTGCCGACCAACCAGTGTACCATCTGCCATTCCTGGCTCAGCAGTCTCGGATTGGAGGCGTTGTGGAGTCGTTTTGGAGAAGTCACCAACGATTTACGAAACCAAATGTGGACTACATTTAACTTGCTGCCAAATTCAACTCACTGGAAAGTTGAGGATCAGCAGTAAGATGGACTACGTTGTGGCGAAGAGTTCAAATGGTTCCAAAGAGTATGGGGGTGGATGAGCCTACTGGTTAAAACGCCGTCGACCCTTACGCAGTTCTTTACGACGAACAAGTGGAAGACTTGGATGAAGAGGTGGACGTAACCCCGACTACATGCCACGGGTAGTAAAAAGCTAACACGGCGCTGGAAGTCAATGGAAATAGCGGGCACGATTCACAAGCTGACGAAATAGGCACATAGGAGGATTTCGAAGTGGATGAGGACATGGAGGACGAGGAAATGGATGACGAGTATTGTAATGAAGTTAGATGACTAGGTACGACGATAATATGAGACATGACTTTCCTTAGTGTAGACTTGCCTTAACCGGTGCAAAGCCACCATAGTTAAGGAAAGTGCGGATCACTAGACACGAGATGTAGATCGACGAGCCACAACTAAAATGATATGGGAGCAGTACACGAAACTCCTGTGATGTTACGTCCAGCAAATCCAGCCAAACCTCTAGACATCAAGTTTGAGATCAATGAACCTAAGATCAGTAGAAATAAGCGACCTGATAAAACGTTAGCTGATAAACCCAATCCTAATGAAGTAGCTCGAACGTAAGCCTAATGATCTAGCTCAAACCTAAACCTAAAGAAATTGCTCTTGAACTGTATGATAAAGTTCTAATCAATACTAATACAGGAACTAATCGAGTACCACTACTCAAGCAACTGTGAAACTCCTACCCTGTTCAAACATGGTCCTGTCGTATTCGTACCACTATGATCTTGTGTGGCGGTTTATCTGTAGCGCGGTTATAATTTCCGCAATACGATCGTTAGCTGCCACTGCCCGATTTCAACGGGGAATGCATCATTTTTTGGACGGAGAGATTGGGAATTTTAACGCCGTACTCTAATCCGTGACCATTAATTGAGGGGATTGCCACAAAACCCTTGAAACTACTCATTAGTTAGGGTAAACCAGCACCATTTCTTTTCGAAAAAAAGTAAAACCACTGGCAGCCACTCGCCAGTAGAGAAAATACCAAGAGAATTGAGTTCAGGTGGCTGCCATCGGTCATTTCCCCTTTGCCCATCCCATTAGAGAGTGCAAATTTTCACTGGTCACGCGATGGACCACGCGGTTGCCGGTGACAACGCTATTAGTGCTTATGGCGCGTCGATTAGGATACCAAAACGGACCCCTAACCGTGCCGTCACTTCGTAGATTCACCAAGAGTAAGACTATGGGTGCCCCATAGTCATATAATGAATGGCGAAAACCGGTTGAAATAGGAAACCTGGGGGGGGTAATCGTATGGGGGGGGTAATCGTATGGGGGGAGGCGCAAGATGCAGGGAGGGGCTACTCAACCAAGAACGACAAATTCAAATTATCCGCTCACACTTACTCACCAGTATGGCCGACACGAAGGTAACCCCGCTGGGGTTCCGCGACTTCGTGACTCTGCCTCTGAACCTGGCCGAGGCTAAGATGGCGATTTGTGACAAAGTAATTGCTGATTATCCCAAAATCGATTGGAGCAACGTGGAGGTGGACAGCATTGCCAAGGCGTTGAAATCGATGCTCATTCACGCGCCATCGAAGGAGTTTGCTGAAAAGGCACTGTTGGTGGTCAATCACCTCTGTGTGACGAAAGCCTTCGAGAAAATCACCCACCCACTTCGCCTTCAGCTTTGTTGCGAAATCGGTGAATTGGCAAACACCTCGGACGAGGCTTTTGAAGTGCTTGAAGGCGTCCATGGTAGCGATCCATTCCTCGCTAATAAGGCGTTGTTAGACAGCGGCATCGAAGTTTCACCAGATCTTGCTTACAAGACTCGGAACTGGGTTGTCCGGAATTCTGTTTTCTCTAAAAGAGCCGGCAAGGCCGCCGTTGAACGGAGATTTAACTCGGTCCCCGCTCATCTTAAGAAGGCTCTGACGTTGAAGGGCATATCACCTCTCGCGTTGTACAACCTTCTTGTCAAATCGTTGAACGCGAAAACTGAAGCTATTCTCAAGGACAAACTTCGTCAGTATGAGCGCTTGGACCCTACCACGCACAACGACGATGCTTCTGGCCTGTCCTCGTCGGGCCAGGCTCCTGCGCCGACGCCGACGCCGACGATCGACGATTTCCTCGAACACAGCGAGGAAGTGGAGGGCCCCCCCCAAAACCCGATTCCCATCACGTCACCGCCATCGGCATCCAACCGCAGAAGACGTTCGAGACCCTCCCCGCCTGCCGCCCCGCCTGCCTCCCCGCCTCCTGCTCGCCCGGTGGCCATGATCATCGAAAACGATTCCGACGCTGAGGAGAATCCTGACGTGGGTTACCAACAACCGGAGAACGCCTGGGATGATTACGAAATGGAAAATCCCATGAATGATGGCAATCCCATGAATGATGGCGATCCCATTGACCCCAGTCCCCCCATGACGCCGACGCCCCAAAATCGCCGGGAGCCTGCTGAAAACGACGACCAAGGGTCCCCCAGCGGCACCAGACTCCAGGAACACGGTTCGAAGTCTCCCTCGCCCCGGTTGCGGCTGGGGCGCCAGTTGAACCCGCAGGTCGTTCAAAACGAGCCGCCGACGGCTCGTGAGCGTACCATGAGGGCAGAATCAGTCCTGGATGAAGAGTATACCCGAGTACCATTGCAATCGTCCAACTGGAGACAGGTTAACCGCTCTCCCAAGGTCACCCTGGGTTCGGCGTCCTCGTCGCCGGAACAGGGTCACCAACGTCAACAACCCCTCGAGGCGCCACACCAAGGTGACGCTAATGTTTACCAACAGCCATACGAGGCGCGGGACATCCCCCGAGTGGCTGGTTTAGATGCGGTGGAAGGCGACTGGTCGACGTCGCGAGTCGCGCTGGCGGATCAACGCCACCGTGAGGCTCACTTCCGCCGCCATGGGACGCTGGCGCTGAACCGTCAAGCGGGCATGGGCTCTGGGCCGAAGCCCCCCTTTAACTTTGCCGACTACCAGATTCCCCTGAACCTTCAACTGCGTGGTGCCGGTGACGAAAACGATGATGCTCGTATGGGGAAGAGACCAATGAGACATTTGGTGGAGTCTTCCTCGTCTCCGTCACGGCCTCGTGGCTACTTCACCGAGGCCCAAGGGGATCCCACTGGGACGGAACAAGTCCCAGCTGAAGGTACCTCGTCCATGGCGCCGATTCCTCAACCTTTTCAAGCGGCTGCTGATGCCAACGCTTCTCAAAGAGGCTCGAAGCGACGCTCCCCGGAGGATGATGAGAAGGAGGCGAAGAAGAAGGACAAGAAGGAGGACGTGGACGTGGACGAGGAGGAGGACTTCGACGACGAAAGCTACGACGGCGGCGACGACAACGACGACGACAACGACGACGACGGCGACGACGACGGCGACGACGACGGCGACGGCGACGACGACGGCGACGGCGACGACGACGACGACGACGACGGCGACGAAAAGAAGCTGAAGAAGAAGAAGCCGAAGAAGAAGAAGCCGAAGAAGAAGCCGAAGAAGAAGCTGAAGAAGAAGGTGGAGGAGTCTGACGACGACAGCGGCGACGACGAAAAGAAGCTGAAGAAGAAGTCGAAGAAGCTGAAGAAGAAGTCGAAGAAGAAGCTGAAGAAGCTGAAGAAGAAGTCGAAGAAGAAGCTGAAGAAGAAGCTGAAGAAGGAGTCCGAATCTGGTTCGGTGGTTAACAACTACGGAATAATTACTTACAAGGTTGATCTCTCCCGTCGTGTGAAACATGAGGAGTCTTCGTCATCATCTAGTGATGAAGAATCCTCTTCATCGTCGTCATCTAGTGATGAAGAATCCTCTTCATCGTCGTCTAGTGATGAAGAATCTTCTTCATCGTCGTCATCTAGTGATGAAGTATCCTCTTCATCGTCAAGCAGTTATGACAGCAGCGACAGTGATGACTCCAGCGACGAGTGAAACGTCCAACGAGAGGACCAACATGTCCGTCGATGTGATTACCAAATGATTGATGCGATACCAAATGATTGATGCGATACCAAACGATTGATGCGATACCCAAATTGACCGAAATTGACTGATGAGTCTACGATAATGATTGATACGAATAGCGACGAATTTACGACGGACATAATGTTAATGAAAATAAGTGAACCACTTGTAGTTGACAATTAGTAGTTCAATTGGTAAATATATTGAGAAGAGAAAGCCGTTTCGTTACCTATTAGATTCGGGTCGATACTATACTGAGTACCGATATACCTTGATCATCTGAGGGTGTTTTGCGTGTCGTGACCAAATCAATGTCACGTGATATTGATAAGGAAATGGACATTCGCATTAGATAGACATACATTGAGATGAATAAGCCATTTCCAATCAATAAACTAGTCTACGTTTATTGGTTCCAGCTAAGCGGACCTATTTCACTTGATCGAAGTATCATTTCCCAAAATTTGGTTATAACATCAATATTTCCACCAAAGCTAAATCCATGAATGGTAGTTGGTTCTAGCATCGACGAACCTACTCTTTGAATCGAAGCTAATAACCAGTGCTTGGTTCTGACAACAACAAGTAGATAAATCAAACCAAGTTGATAACCCGGTTTTGGTTATCAGTACTACTGAACTGAGCAATTAACAAGTAATCTTGGTCTGGAGTAAAAGTCAATAATCGGTCCTAGCAACAGCGGTCCCAGTAGGCTGAGCCAGGCTGATAGTCAACAAGTGGTTAATATAAACCCGTCTCTTGGCCATCAATTGGTTCTACGGTCACACTTACCTCAACTAGACAAACGACAACTGGCTACTCTCAGCCAGACAAACAGCCCATGCTTGGCTCCAGCGATGACAGTCCCAATCCACTAGTTCCAGCTGATAATCATCAATTGGTTCTAGCAACAACGGTCACACCAAGTACTGGCTACAGCCTCCTACCTTTGGCTACCAGGCGGTGGCGAGCACTTGTTTGGAGGTTACGATGCTGAGAATGGCAGTGTCCCACCTGTAGCACTAAAAGTCTACCAAACAGTAACCATGAACGTAGCATTTTGGAACGGTAGTGACTACCAGATAGTGCAGAGTGAAATATTCTAGCCAATGGTTACTAAGTCGAGCCAACTGGGTTTTCATTGGTCAGCACGTTCATGTTTTACTGATCTGTGAAGAATTAGCGGTTCAAGGGGAAGCGGATAGTGCTGGACTGGCTATCTTGACCATTGCCTACTAGCTAGATACCAAGCGCTCGACAAGTCGACGATGGCGGTGACTCTCCATATTCAACTTCTTCTGGATGTTGTCACTTAGGTTCTCCCAAGGTGACGGCCCCTTGGACACCTCATCGCCCAACTTAACGACGCCAGCTTATTCTTGGCTCAATGTGTGGGTGAACCATCGAGAAACTTGTCCTTCCAAGTATCTGTAAACGGCGTTTGTGAACGGCTTGTGTTTACATTAGGCGCTAGGTTCTAAGCTAAGACTAATCGCCATGCCCGGGGTCCCCCAACTGGGAATGACGTCGTTTGATGCCAATTTCCCTTGTTATGATGGCCTATTTTTACCCGCGCATAATCCCACCCAAAATGCCAGCAACATGCCAGGCATTGTTTATACTCCTATTAATAGTACCCAGCGGCAAATTATTGAGTGTCCACCATTGTCGTAGTGCTCCATACAATGCTGGTTACATTCAACTATGTCAGCACGACCATTCCCGGATTGGTTCCATTGCCTACTAAGTTTGCTCGGATAATTAACTACGGGTAACAAAACCCTCCCAGCGATCGCCGAAAATTCGTTCGCTTGGCGCACTATCGCACGGGCTGCGCCAACAACGCCGGGGGGAGGCCACCGAACACTATGCGATGGGCAGTGCAGCAAATATTCGCAGCATTCGCAGCATTCGCAGCATTCGCAGCAAATTTGCAGCAAATTTTTGTTTGCGCCCTTTCGGAGGGCAAACGACACCAAAGCCGAGACCCCACGGTTTGCTTCCATCCGGACCCGACCACGGATAGGGAAATAGGGGACACTGCGAACGACCTAAACGGAGACGGAGACAACCCGGCAAATTACGTCATTTTGACAGAATGACGATGGAGAGCGCCCCCGCCTCGGCGTGACCGTAACCCTACTAAAAAGCCAGTGGCAATTGCGCGCTTATGTAAACTACACCCTATATCGTCCCCCTAATATCCCGGAATCAATGCCTCCATTGGCCTCGGGAACCCCCTGGCCATTGCCAAGCAACCGATCGCTCACAAAGAAATTAAAACGGAGATGGGCCAAGTTTCCGTGGCCGATTTAAGTTGCTTTCCGCGACCGACTCGGCTAGCGGGGCCAGGGATACCCAACCCCTAGAGGTCCCGACCGCCCCTTTTCCGAGACACTAAGCCCTGCTTCATTCCAACCGGTTTCCAACGCTTACAATGGTGTTTAGCCTATAACCCCAGCTGTTGTACGTGATGCTTATCGCGGCGATCGTGCTGGTGTCCCGATCGGGGTGCGCCGCCCAGCGCCGCCATCGCTTCGGCTGATTTTATCTGCTCGTATTGCCAGAGCGTCGCCCCTGCACCTGAGCCTCACAGCAAAAAGCGCCCAGGGTGCGTTTTGAGACAGCGAACGTCTTGTGCACCCCCCTCCCTCGCTGCGGGTCACACGATGTTCGCAACCTTAACCGCTGGTGGTGGGAGGTTGTGTCCAATGAGTATTGGGAGGTTTTCTTCCACGGTATGGGTACCCTTACTGACTAAGGCAGTACGGGGTAAGGCTATGTTTTGGCTGGGCACGCCTCACCAGTTGCGGCATGCGCCTACAGCGTACGGCTATCTTGCCACCCCACGCACACTCACCCAGATTACGATAAACACAGCCCGGTAGCCAAGGTCAAACAAAGGCCAAACGGGAACAAAAACCATCGGAAGTATATATCTTAGTGGTGGCTTAGTAACGGCGATGACTAACGCTTATTTTTTTCTTGGTATTGGGAGGGGCGGGGCTGTGGACAAAGCGCCCACAGCGCCCAAAGTGCCCTCTTTTGTGGCCGGAGTGCCGCTCGCTGTTTGTCCTCGAGATCAGGCAGGCTGATAACGTGCATATAGCGAGCATTATGCGAGGTATTCCCGATTTGGGTCATGGGGCAAAATACGCACACCAGGTGTGGGCATGGGCCCCGCATCCCACAAAAAAACAATCAGCCCCACTCGCAAATGGTATCCACACCTTAGTAAAATCCTCTAACCGCCATTCTTGAAACCCATCCTGAAACACCCTCTGATACAGGGGTAGCAAACCCCCCTCATGTTTTACCGGTTAAAACGGTTGCTGGCACATTAATATCGGGTACGAGCTCTCTCTCCACACTCGCCCCCCCCCCCCCAC